AAATGATAAGCACAAGTCTTCAAAGATCAGTCATTACTGGCACAGAGAGTGTGAAAGTGCTAATGAGTTAGGTAGCTGATAAAGTTGCAGAGCCTCATTTGGAAGAAAGAGGATGAAAATGGCACACAAGACCCTGATATTTTAGGAGAATGGAGCACTAAACTGAATGACAGGATGAATGAAATGCAGCAGTACAAACTGCATGTTGATAGGCTCAGGGGATTGGAATAGGAATTCCTAACATGTGGGCAACAGCCTATCAAGTGAGCATGATATGCCACGTTGAGCATCCGGTGTCCAACCAACACAAGAAGAGCAAATGTAATCTCCGAGGATGCCAGCAGAGAGAGGGAGAGAACAAGAAAAGAGCTGATATCTTTGCTCAAGGCACCTCATCTGCATGCTGACAGAGGATGAGCCCACCAGGGAGGCTGTACAGAGAAAGGCATGAATCACAGAATGACAAGATGTTTGGGGTTGGAAGGGACCTCTGGAGATCACCCGGTACAATCCTTTGCTAAAGCCAGTTGACGACCACCATCGACGGATGGAGGATCTGCACTGCAACAGAGGAGCCTTGCTTACTCATCACAGCATGGCCATGAAGGCATATGCAAATGCTTTGGGGTGGTAAAAAATCTGGCTGGATGAGAGTTTTGGGGTGGTAAACAATCTGGCTGGATGAGAGCTGCTAAAGACACCCAAGTATCCTATTTCCTGCTAGCTGAGACTTTACAGTTATATTGCCAAGGAGTGTCTCTGCAAGGTTTTGGTCCCGAAAGGCGGTTCATTTCTTGACCTGGAGTTGCACAGTCTAGAGAGTCACACAAAACCTGTAGATTTCTGCCTCAAATTATCCTTTACCATCAGTGCTGACTGAGGACAGATGATAAAGAACCTGTGACAAGTGACTCTGGTGCTACCCACAATGTTTATTTTAAAAATTCCAACCTTGCTTCTGTTCCGATGCTGCCTGTCTTCAATTTCCAGCCACCAGGACTTGCTAAGACTTTTCATCAGTGCTATCACATCCTTCATCTTCAACTCAAGGCAGTTTCAAGGCTCCCAGCTCTTTTGCCAGGGTAAGCTCTCCCAAACCTAGATCACTCTGAGCCCCCAGCCCCTTCTGCACTAGAAGGGGATTTTCACTGTGGGCCCTTTCCAAGAAGCTAAGTAGAAGGCAGCTACATCACAGCTACTCATGAAAGGTGTCCCTTGTCAGCAAAGTGAAACCCTGAAGGATGAATTTGCCATGTAATCCATTTGCAGAAAACCAGTATGAAAACTGCAGAGAATAGATCTGACTTGCTTGCACAGCTTTTTCTGGTGACAAGCTGGTGAAGGATTCTTGCTGGCCTAGTCTTTGGGATCATAAAGGCAAGGTAGTGTTTTCAGAGGACAAGATGCTGAAACAAGCTGAGACCAAAAAAAAGACAGCAAGTTGCCAGAAGCAGGCAGCTGAGGTGTGAGGGCTGAGCCAGAAACAGCAGCCCTGCATTGAGATCAGCGTCTGGGCACCAGAAGGCATTTATATAGAACAGGAAGGAGACTGTTACATTAAAGCATCCAGATAAGGAGTAAGAGAGACATCTACAAAAGCCTAGAAATTAATCCTCCTATATTACAACATGGCTTGATCTCTGGGATAATAAACATGAAGCTTTTCAAGAGTGGGTTGTGATTGCCTAATAGGAGGTTTTGTCTCTCCTCTGAGGTGTCTGACCTGCCCCCAGACAAATGCCATGGTTAGCCAGACCTGCCAATGCCCAGGGTACAGCTTTCACTATGTGTCCATGATGCCCTCAGCAGGTTGCCCAAGCCCATTCTTCCTCTGGCTGCTGTGTCCCTGGGACCTTTCACTGCTGTCTCTGGAGTTCTCAGGGGAAGGTCAAATAAGGGTGGACGTACAGGAAAAAAATAACAGAAATAGGATGGTGGACACTTACCCTTTTTTGTAGGGCCAGAGCCAGAACACAGACTGCAAGCAGAAGGAAGAGGGTGAGTGTGAGCCCAAAAGTAACCTGCCCACTGAAGATAGCAGAAGAGCTGGAGACCTGGGCACCTGTGAGGAGGAACTACAGTTAGAATGGAAAGTAGGGTTGATTTTGCACTGGAGCAAGGCTGGGCCAGCACAAAACCAGGCCAAATGGGAAAGAATGCAGGGAACTGGAAGGAGCAACATGAGGAACGGGTGAGAGCTAAGACAGGATGACGAGAAGGTAGGATCCGAGTAGTCCAAGGGCAGAAGGACAGGGTAGGGCTGATAGAGGAAAGGGCACCAGGAAACTGAGTAGGGCAAGAAAAAGAAGTTGGTTACAGATCCATGGGGGACAGTACCTGTGATCTGCAGCCCATACTCCACTGCTCCCAGTCTGCCTTCTGGGCCATATACACTGCATTCCCATGTGCCCATATCCTTTTGTGACACTTGGAGTATTTCCAAGGTAGGTCCCATCTGGGAACTGTGGTCCTCCAGGTTATGGGGGGTGGCCACAGCTAGTTTGCTCTTAGTAGGGGCTGAGCCAAGTTGCTTCCACTGGAAACGTTCATGTCCCTGAGGATGTGTGAGGCTGCAGATGAGCAGCAAGCGACTCCCCTCAGCAACTGGTCCTTGGATGCTTGGAGTCACTGCAGCAAAAGAAAAAAAGTACCCTCAGGAAAGACCTCAAGGTCCACACCTCTTCCTAATCCATCCTTCTTCTATTACACCCCTTCTTTAATACTTCCTCTAATTTGTTTTCTCTGTCCTCCTCAGTCTTAAGATGAATAATCACGTCACCCAGGAAAACCCCTGATTCCGGCAGAGTCCAGTGTAATGCAATGCCCGTAATAGAGACCTTGTTTGCTGCTCCAGGGTGGGAACCTATGAGCAGGAGCAACCCACACTCACTGCACTGACATGTGGGGAGGTTTATCTGCAAGCAGTGGGGTACCCCAGAGGAGTGATGCACTTCCCTGTCTCCCCTCTCACCTGTAATCAGTGCCAAGGTCACGTCCCTGCTGATTGTCTTGCTGCCAATGGAGAGAGCACAGCGGTACTGTCCTGCATCACCTAGCCCCACTGCAGGGAGATTCAGGGGGAAGCTTCTGCTGCTCAGTGTCTGGGAGATGCTCCAGTCTTGCAAGTGTCCTCGTGCAAGGTGGCTCCAGTGGGCTATCACCACATTCTTCCCAAAGGCACTGGGAAGGTAGCTCAGGCTGCATGGTAGACTGGCTGCAGAGCCAGATGCAGCATAGACCATAGGGTTGGTTGGGCCATCAAAACCTGAGCCAGAGAGAGGGGAAAATGTGGGATGGTGGCTGGAAAGAGCTCCACAAGGAGATGATTGGCCTGGGAAGTAAGGACAGGTTGGGAGCTGGGAAGGTGGGGCCACTGGGCTTGGTCACTCACAGCAAAGCAATGAACTTGGGGATGCTAGAGTAGCAACACAGAGGATGACCTCACCTAGAATTTGCAGGTTGTATGTGGCAGAAATGATCTTGTTATCAGAGTATCGAAGCTGGCAGCGCCAGGAGCCTGCATCAGCCATGGTTGGTCGGAGGATGGAGAGAGACCCGCTCAAGGAGCAGAAGCTGGGGCCCAGTTGCCCATTGTGGAACCAGCATGCCTCCACAAGGCTGGCCTGGTGGCTGGAATTGCAGCTCATCAAGAGCGGCTCATTTTCTACCACAGGATTGGGTGGACTGAGGGTTACTGCAAAAAAAGAGAAAGCGTTGGGGTGGGAGGTGAGCTAAGGTCTCAGGGGATCTACCAAACCAGCCCTTTGTGACCCACCCCCATCCTAGCTTTGTCCCTCAGGCAGCCATCCCTCCAGAGCTGAGAGCAGACAGCAGGCAGCTGTGTGCTTCCAGGAGGATGCTGCCTGTACTCTAACCTTCCCTGCCAAACGTGGCATCCCCACCCCATCCCACCTTTACAACCTCCCTGGTCCTAAAATCAGCATTCTCCAGGCCTTCCATCTTCTCCTACCTGTAATTACTCCCAGCTCCACATGGCAGCTGTGGACCTCTGTGTTGTATTCCACCCATGCCTCATACAGCCCAGCGTCATTGCTCCGGACTGGGTCAATCCGCAGGGAGAAATTGCCATTGCGTAAGGCAGAGTCCTGGAGTGACACCCGGCGCTTCATGGGCAGCGCTGTCTTCTGGAGACCTGAGTACCCCACCTCCAGCACCACATGTGGCTCCTGGTGGACACTGAGAGTGGGACAAGTGAGTGGCTTGTGCCAGAAGTAAACATGAGATCAAGGGAGGGAGCAGGAAGGAGGGAATGTGGGGAAGGAGAAAGTGAGTTCAAAGCATCTCCCACCCTCCACAGTCCCCACAGAAGGACTCAAATCTTTCTGGTTATGCCCTGGCATACCTTCCCCCGTAGCGCTTCCACAGCACAGATGTCTTGTCAGGCAGCTGCTTCAAAGTCTTCCTTGACTTTCTGGGACTCAGTTGGCAAGGCAGCACGGCTGAACTTCCCTCCCTGACCCACAATTTCTGCTCCCTGCTTTCCCCCTCTGCTGGTAGGATGTGGCCAGCTGTAATAAGATGAAGAGTTGAGCAAAGAGGTTTGGTTTTTTTTATCCCACTCTGGAGTGAGAATGCCGTGTTTGCCACGTTAGAGTATTGTGCCCCATCCCCCATGGGATGGGGGAGTGAGTGAGCGGCTGCGTGGTTCTTGGTTGCTGCTGGGGTTAAACCACGACAAGTATAGAGCGATATCTGGCCATCTTCAGTGGAATTGGAAGGGCATGAACTTTCCCTTCCAGACTTGTCAGAGGCCAAGTAACACCCAGACTCAGCTTACTGAGCTACTTGCCCTCCCCGATATATTCAGCCTCTCTTACCGCTGAAAGCCAGCAGAGTGAAGGTAAGGAACAGCACCAGGGACACTGGCCTCATGGTGGCATCCAGGAGAGGTGAGGGGCTGCCTCCTGCTCAGGTCTGTCCTTGATGAGGTCCAAAGCTTGAAGAGATCAGCAAAAATGAGGCATGGGCTGAGAAGATGTTAGAGTGGGTGGGTGAGCAAAGAGGGGTCAGTGGGACGTGCTTGCTGTCATGCTGTCTGTCTCTGATCAAAGCATTTCCCTAAATGCCCTTATATATTGCAAGTGGGCTGCTAATTTCCTTATATCGCTAAGAAGATGCGTCATGACCAAGAAACCAGTATAAGCCTGAGGCACGTGAGGGCAGAGGAGGGAGGGACCAGAGACACTGCTCTAAGCATATTTTAGTGGAAATTCTTTGGGTCGCTGTTGTTTTTCTTACAAGTTTCGCTTCTACATAGCCAGTGGAAAAAGTGTAGAACACACTTCCCAGCAAGTGCTCTTCATGTTTTTCTTTCATCTCTTACCTTTTTTGGTTTGATCTTTCCATCTCTTACAGCTTCTCTCTAATTGTTTCAGGGCTTTTGAGAACATCTCAGTCGTTTTATCTTTTTTTTTCCTGCTGTTCTTTCTGCCCTTTTTTTCCTAATTTTTCCTTCTTTAATCTTTCAAATGTGCTGTTTTCTTGTCTTTCTCTCATTGGTGAGTTCACAGGCAGCATAAGGAAAAGGTCTATGGTGAGCTCCAGCCAGGGCATACGTGACTAATCAATCTAGACACCAGGACTAATATGGGACAAAGCTCAGGTAGTCCAAGGAGAAAAGAGAGAAGCATCCAGGAGAAGCAACCAGCCCACCAGCACTTAGAATAGGGACTACATGCAATGGCACTAACAGGGATGTGTGGAAGGGACCTTCCTCCTCCAAAGGCACTGAGGAAAACCCCCCCAAGCTTATGCATGGAGGGGATTCATCCTAGCTCCCATGTAGCTGTCGCTCTTTGCTTAGGACAATATATTTCTATCCATGTGCTTCATCCTGGCACCCCTTTTGCCTCAGAGAACTCCCACTGCTGTGGCTCACACTTTCCAGCAACCCACTGGCTCTGACTCTTTCAGACTTAATCAGCCCTTCATGATGGGTGTCAGACACTCAAGCCCCTTGGTGTCTCATCCCCCAAGGTCTGGGCTGGGGCTTTTCCTGGGGCTGAGGGAAGGGAGGTGACTCAGAATGGCTGCTTCTTCACTGTGCAAGGATCCTTGCTCATTCTCTAGTTTTCCTCAACTGGGTGATGAAGGTGGGAGATAAAAGAGAGCCAGTGCTATGCCTCACTTCAGCAGAACCCTGTTGTAGTGACAGTTCTCATCTCTTTCATCATACATGTCTCGTCAGCCTCCTGAGGAGTGGGATTGGTGTACAGGTGCAACTTTGCCTCTCTGTCCCTGAGGGACTGCTTTGTAGTGGTCTTTTATGTGGGTGTAACATGGGCCATGGGATGGCATGAGAGAGAAAGAGGAGTGAAGATGGGGGAGAACTTGTGACAGTTGTCAGGAGGTGTTTTTTCCTCCTGTTTTCAAGAAAAACAGTTTGTGGGACCAGTTCTTTTTTTTTTCCCTTGAATCAGCAGCGCAAGAATGGTGTGAGTGTGTGGGTGAAGACAAGAGAGAGAGAAGTTGGAACCGTGGTGGGTAGACACATACGGCTTCACAGTCCAGCATCATCTGCTCCCCCACTCCTGCCTTTGCTCGGGGGACACACTGAGTTTGCTGCTCTCCCCCTTCATCTTGACCCTCTCTGCACTCATACCCTTGGCATCATGGCACTGTTCCCTTCTGGCCCCCTAAACACCTTTAATGGAATCCATGCTCTAGGAAATGCCTGTCTCTTGTAAGAACCAGCAAAGGAGAGGATGTATTCACATCCTGCTGCCACTTCCCAAGAGGTGGTCACACGGGACTGGCGGAGAGCCCAGGAAAATGGCAGGAGCTGCCGGGCACTGGCAGGGGGCATTTGGGGCCGAGGGGTTATTATGCTGAGTGAGCATGTTGTGAAATGAAGGGTTTGGAGGCACCGTTTTACTCAGCACCAGGCTATCTTTAGCAAAGACACACTGACGTTTCTCTCTAACGACCCATTTTAAATGCTGACTCCCTCGAGTGGCATTTTCGTCATCTCCCAGAACAGGACCCTGTCACAGAAATAACAGTGACCGGAGAAAAATCAGCATGGAGGCATCTTCTCAGAACTGCCTGTGTGGGGCCCCTGGGCAGAGAGGCTGACAGGGACATGTGGGACTCCGGAAGGTTCCTGTGGGGAATGGAGTAGCTGAGGGCAGGTACACAGAAGTCCAGCTCACTAAATACTCCTTTGGCCATGTTAGGCATTAGTAGCTTCAGCCAGGTTCCAGACTCACACACAGCAGTCACCTTGTGCACAGCCTTAATACATTGCTTTTCTTGTCTCTCTTGGCACATCTTCTGGATGCAAACTACACTTACCAAGAAAAATAGTAGTAGAAAACACTGTTCTGGAGTATCATCGAGTTAGTCTTGCTGAAGGAATTTGCCTTTGTACTTCCAGATTTCTATGATATCATGTTTATCTCTGAGTGATTCCATTTTCATGTTTTAGTCCTTGCAGCATCATCTGAAGCTAGTCACAGTCTTCTGCTTTATGCTGACTTTCTGAGGTGCTGTTTATTTGCAGACTTTAGCTGATCTAAGAAACCACACTGTGACTTTAAGACTGGGTTATCAGCTGCTCTGGGTGTTCCTGAGATAGGGTGCTTACCAGAAGGACCTCATGTAAAATGTCCTGATTGCTGTTTGCCCAGTGCTAAAGTAAACATAGCAGGCAAAACCAAGTTACTTACTAATAAGAGATAACTAATAACTTCATGGTAAGAGACTGTAAACAAAAAGCAGCCACACCTGGGGAAACAGAAGGAAGGTCTGGCAAGAATGCAATGTGAGCAAGAGCTGCTGGGCAGGTTGGTACTCAACAGGCACCTGCACAGGCAACAGGTTTTCCAGGGATCAGACTAGGACTATCTGTGAGACTTCTGGCACTGACTGGAAAGCTTAGGAGCTAAAAGAGATCTAAGTTCAGCTGCAGAGGGGAAGCAGTGGAGCTGGCCTTCTCTGGGCACTCCAGACAGATGCAGTGGCTCCTGAGTCAACACCTTGTTGCTGCAGAGAGGCCAGGCAGCAGAACCCTGAAGCAGAAAGAGTCGGTGCCCATGGCTCAGCACACTTTGTGTGAGATGCACAACAGGGAAATGCATCAAAATAGACACCCTTGAGATAGTGGGATGCAAGCTACTCTTCCTACACAAAGGGCTGTGATGGTTTCTACTAAGATGCCAACCTGAGATGCATTTTCTGTATGAAATTAAGTCCAGGGTAGGTACCAAACACCCTTTCTTGCAGGAGGAAGTGGCTGCTCAAGACTTCTTTCTGTCCCTCTGTGATGCCTGGAAGCAGGAAGTTATCTCCCCAGGGGCAAGGTACACCACACATCAAAGGATGGTCTGGAGGAGGGACCTATTCATCTGAGGTGGCAGGTCCCAAAATGGGGTGAGGAGAAGAGGATTGGAAAAGAGAAAGTTCACATCTCCCAGTAGATTCAGGCAAAACCAAAATGTGCCCTTGCAGAAGTGCTAGAAGGAGGAAGAGTGACTTGCTGCCTGACTGGGAGGCTTTTTCAACACAGTCCTTTGTAGAGGGTTTGTTGAATGGGCAGTGCCTGAGTCACCACAAGTCTCTGACGTGGTGCTCAGTAGAGTCTAGCAGTGGCCTGCTTCCCAGAATCCCATGGGAACATCTTTAGGAAAGCATATCTTTATGGGGTCTTTGGACAAATCTGCTGCCTCTTTCTTTACAGTGCTAAAAGGCAAACACCCTTTGTATGACAATACTCAGCAGACAGCTGAATATCCCAGAGAAACCTGAATTAGAAAGTCAGGAACAACATTGAGGGGTGCTGACTAGAGCTGTGGGCTGCGTTTCTGCTAAAAAAAGACCCAGTGATTTAATTGCTGAAGAGAATCTGGAGGATCCATGGGCGTGTTTGGCAGCTGGCATCTTGTATCTGGCCAGCATTCGCTGTGGAGAAGTGTGAAACTATCATCTTTCAAAAGACCTCCAGATCCTTCCTGGGGGAGAGATGAGATGCTGCAGGATCTTCTTTGATCATCCACAAGTACTTGTCGAGATGGCAATAGCTATCAGTACCTTGGCCAATATCTAGTTAAGTGATGTCTTTGATGCTACAGACTCCATGTTTTGCAACACAAAGGGTGAGGTGGATTAACTACAAAAATCCATACAGCAAGCTAGGTTACATTTTGACTCACTTCTCATTGCAGCGTTCATGCTTCTAATCCAATGGAAATATATGCAATAGCCAAACATCCCAGGGCTGCTGTGGGTTTTCTCAAGAGCAAACAGATACCCAGGAGCTCAACACATTCAGGGATGGGAGATACATGCCACCTTTGCTCTCCAGTTAGAGTGACCTTGACACTGAGATGAAGGAGTCAGGCACTGACCCAATGTGCCACATGTTGCTGAGCAACTGAGGCAGTAGCAGAGTGGACCTAAAAGACTCTCTCTTGACAGGTACAGGCTGAGGAGGGTTCTGAGAGGAGCTGAACCTTGGTCTGACAGTGGGACTCCCAAAATTTGTCTCACTCAGGGGTGGTTGGAGAGAAGGGTACAGCCATCTGCAAAGTCCTTGAGCCCCTGAGGGCCCAAGCAGAGCTGGACAGCAGACTAGTGCTGGACATCAAGGGTAGCCCAGAAAGTGGGCAAGCAGTGGCAGACATGGCCAGAAAACAAGACCTCTGAAAATGCCCTCAGGACCAAGACTGGTGGTAAGGGTGGTGTCAGAACAGGCTGGGAGGATGGTACTGGACATGCAGTGAAACCAGGGTACCCAGATTCCCCCAACAGACTGCACAAGAGACCCTTCTTAGGTGTGGCTTCTTGGTTTGCCAGTCTCTTCAGAGTTTTGCAGGGAGACTATATGACAGCTTTCCTGGAAGTGTTTTGGCCTGGGGCACCGCCAGAACAGATGT